AACCCAACAGAATGGCCTTTCAATAAAGGAAGCATTGCGAGGAGTCACTTCCTAAAAACTCTGCACCTTTCAATGGAGAAGTTGCTCTTCACAGTAGGAGCTACTAAGCTTGGCTCTAGAAAAGCCCATCTCAGGAATGGTTCATACTTAAACACCGGTCCTTAGGTCCATGGCTTCATTTAAACAGCATTGCTAAGACCTCCTCCTAAGCTCCACTAGCTCTCAGATGCAACTTCCAAGCTATACTATCATCTCTCCTAGAAGCAGGTCAAGATTATTTCCTGTTTCACTGGTGAAGGACCAGTGCCACCATGTCCCAGCACACTGCCGAGAGGTCTCTCTGCAAACCGTGTCAGTGGCGTATAGACAGTAGCACCTTCATTGGCTTGGGTGCTGAGAGGGAGAAATCACATGCAGGGAAGATCCTCCATGCACAGATCTGCCAAACCCATGCCTTGCTTATATGGTCAGGCCGCTCAGTGCTGTATCTTACATCACAAAACTGAGCTTTATTTTCACCTAAAGAAAAAGCGGGTGGCACAAGGCTCTGTTTTCTCACAGTCAAAAAAGAAGTTAGAATAATTATTTGAAGGCTTTTAAAGTTGGTCTGCAAATATTTGGATGACTGCAGTTAGTCAATGTAATTCCTTGAATATAATTGATTGGCTGTCTTCTAGGGACAGTTCTCCTTTTGGCACAGATATGAATATTAGTGCTATGAATAAAGTAGCTATGTCAATAAAATTAGTTTGCTACTGGGTCTGTAAGAGTGATAAACCACTGCAATATGCAGGTAACATCCAACATGGCACATGCAAGAACCTGACTATTACTCCCTATAGAGTATGAGAATGCAGAACCTACAAGCTTTTCCTCTAGCTTCAAAGCACAGAGGAGACCTCTAACTTTCAACTATTTTCTCATTCATTTTTATGCAGACTGTTTTGAAATCAACATTTAGTATGTTTGTGCTTTATAACATAATCCTATGCACTTGAGCTGTATACCTTGATGATGGCTTGCTACCTGATTTATTAATATGCTCTATCTACAAAAATATTAGTTACTTTTAAGAGAATGTCCTGAAAAATGGACTGGAAATATTGAACATTCGTGAACTGACAGATCTTTCTCTTGAGGTTTTTTGTGTTGAAACAATCCCTCTCCCCTCTCCCTTTTTTGGTAACACCTTTTGGTTGCAGCAGAAAAGCATTTTTAAAATAATGGATAAAGTATCACCAATGGTAGAATGTCTTGGATTACAAGCAATAGCCTTTTTAGGCATTCAGTGAAATAAACTTATGCAACACAGAACAGCATCTTTCCAGTGACCCACTAAAAGGATGTTCTAGACATGGTGTAGAAAAACAGTACCATTTCCTTCCTTTAGGAAATCCACAACAATCCCCCATCAAAATTAGTGTACCAGGGCACAGTAACCCATAGGAGGGCAGAAATAAAAGAAATAGCTGTTGTTATATAATTTGTTCTTCGATGATTCAAGTGAAATACTGAAAATAGGAGACACCTGAAATACAGAACATCATTGATAAAACTACCTTCCACCATGAAGACAAGAAGCTGTGTTGCTAAGGGAAACATATGAGAGGCTAAAAATCAGCACAGAGGCCTGCAACTTCATAGACTTCCAGGGCACAAAGAAAGCATGATTCCTTGCAAAGTCTTAGGTTTCACAGTTTTTTCTGCCTGTAGCCCTATTTCTCCCAGAAGAAACTCTCCTGCCCTAGGCTAGGAGGGTTAAGAATCTTCCGTTTTTTCCTATAAAAGGTAATGATTTTTCTGGCGATATTTCCTACTTCATTTTGAACACTTTCAGACTCCATAGCCTCTAATAAGGACACTTGTTAATTAAGTGCATAACTGGTTGCAACAAGCAATTTCTATCTGATGACAAATTCCTACTCTGTCTTACTTCTTATGTTCATAATACAGGCGAGAAAACAAAGGAGAACCAAATTTACTCAGCATTTCTGACACACAAATTCACAGTTCATCTGAAGTCTATTAAATTGCCTATTATAAAGAATGAAGCTTGTCTTGTGGCCTCAAATCTAGAAAAAATAATTTGGGGCACTAGTTCCAAGGATTCTGACTGTTTAGTACACTAATGGTTAAGTAATCAAAGGGCAGGTAAGAAATGGATAGTAATATTACCTACAGGATAAAGTGTGATCAACCAATACAAATAACTACCATTTAATCCGGCATGTTTCTGTAGTACGATGCCTATATTAAGATAATACAGTTAGTTGATTTCATAATGAAATCTTTAACCTTCTGCCCTAGCCTAGATGATTCAGGATGTCTCATGCTATGAGCAGATGGGAAAAACAACAGGAATGTCTGGCTCTATGAGGAGAATTTAGACTACTTTTTCTACTGGGATAGTTACAATATTTAATTTCTCTTATGTAAGTTTGCTAAGATTGACAATGCTAAGCACAAGTTTTACAGCAGCACAGTGATCTGTAACACAGTCAGCTCACAGGGCTGCTTGAAAGTCAGCTGAATTATCCAGAATATCAAAGCTGAGTGCAATGATTTGTGGTTAACATTTTATATGCTTGCAGGCCACCAGGCTATTCATCCCAGTGAAGCTGTGCAGACTACCTTTGAGTCTATTTTCAAATTATTTGCTTTTCCCCTCAGGATGAGTTCATTGATCTTTGCAGCCCATACAAACTCTTTTCCAAGTCAACATAGAGCAATAGATATCTCTGAGGGCATTTTGACAATGGTTCAGAGATGCTAAAAGAGGAAGACACTTCCTACGTTGATTATGTAGTGAGCCCACAGCTTCCATAATGTAATTCCGTATGTTGTGTGCTGAACTGTGAGTCATCTGGAGCTGCCAGTAGGAAGTGGTAGGCAACGGGTTGTGTCTGAGGAGCTTACTGACTCACAGCATTACCAAGAGGCACCATCAGCCGTGCAAGATTGAAAATGTTGGATTTTTATAAAAGGGATTTCTATGCAAAAACAGTACTAACCAACTACATATGGATCATTCAGGAACTGTACAAGCAAGATCATTTGCTTTTATGGACTGATACTTCTATTTATAATGGAAACTATGACCAGAAAATATGTTTCCTGGCATGAAAATCCAGATGTTCTAATTTTTTTTAAATTGTATAGATAAAGACTTTCTATATGTGGCAGCAAACTACTTTTAAGAACACAAACTGGAGGTGTAACCTTTGATGCAAAAATAAAATTTTAGAAGTCAAAGACCAGAAAAAACATTGTTCATGCATGTCCAGCAAACAAAAACCAAGTACATATTTTTATACAACATTTTCTCAGTGTCTTCATGCCATTCCCTCAGCAGCTCAAGATTTCATGACCCCTCACCTTGAGCTATACTCTTCCTCAGCTTGGTGATTAACTTCAGAAAATGCCTTAAGGCCTGAACTTGAGCATGCTTCATGCACATAAGGAAAACCACATGAGAAATGCCTTCACAGTATTTGCATAGCAGTACCAAGTAATACAAATGATCGCAGGACTGATCAAGAAACTGAAACCTACTTTTAAATGTAACACTACCAAATAACTCCCCTGCACTTGTAACCATTTAAAAATACTATAAACCCTCCCCTCCCAACTATGAAATTTGTACCTAAAGAATGATACAGATTTTGGGATGAATGCTTCCTACATTCCTACAGTGTCCTGTGATGTATGAAACTCCAGATTTGTCAACACTGGCCTTCAGTTTAGTTATTCAAATATTTAGCACTTAGACATGCAAGATACCAGCAGAAATATTTTTAGTATGTCAGAAAATCCAGCCTGTTTCAGAGTAACACAATATATTGCCTGAGCAGCACCCACAGGAACAAACCTAGACTCCATCCTCCTGGGAGTATTTCATGAAGTTCTGAGTCTGTATCCTATTTTCTAGGACCTGATGGTCTAAGGTAATTCATCAATATATGCTAAGTACAGCTTTGGACAGTCATGCATCTTAGCTTGCAAAGAGGAGAAAGCCCACTTCTGTGAAGACAGAACTTTCTCAAAGCTGGTCTTCACCTGGGGATGGACTCCCTCGGAACTACCGTCCATCCAAGATCTCATAATCTCACCACTTCCCATTCTCAGTAAACGGTGGGTTTTTTCTGCCCATGACCTCTCTGAGTATTCAGAACCATGTGCATATTAAATAAAAATAATTCCAGACCAAGAGGAATTTCCCCAGAAGAGACTTTTGGGTACCCTTCTGAAACAGAGCAGACTGTGCGAGCGGAGTGAATTACATTCGTCCATGCACTTCGGAAGGACACCTTCGATCCTACAGAGGTCAGGAGGCAGGTACAAAATGAAGTACATGAGCAGAAACCGAGAGTTACATATACCCAGCGAACACAATTTCTACTTTCTCACATTCTTTCACTTTCTATTCCGATGATAATCTTTCACATGTATATGGAAATCATTTAAAAAACCAGAATACTGTTATCAGTGTGATTTCTCCCTGGAACACGGTAACACTCTGGACTCGGCTCCCCACCAACCTGTCACCACCTCTTTGCGTAGCCGCAGCGGAGTCAGCAGCTTTAGGCGGCCCGGGCTCGCAGCCCCCCGCCTCCCGCACACCCCCAGCGGCACCGCGATGCCCGCGCTGCATCCCCGCACCGCCAGCCGCTCCCGCTCCCCGCCGCGCTCCCGCCCGGGGCCGCTCCCGCCCGAAGTTCCGCCCTGCCCGGAGGAGGGCTGTTTCCGACAGGCCTCCGCGGGTCGCCGCACCTGACACCGGGGCGGGCACGGGACCGGGGACGCCGGCCGGCGCGGCGGAGGAAGCTGCTACCGGCCCCGGCTCCCACCGCCTCCCGGCTCCGGAAGGGCTACCAGCCCCTTTCGCCCTCTTCCCGCAGGGACCGCTGGCGCAGAGCAGCGGGATGGAGGCGGGAGACGGCGGGAGACGGCTGCGCGGCAGCTCCGCGCTCCCCGCACCGGGAAGGGCGACGGCCGCTTACCGGGTCCGGCATCCGCGTGAGCGGCGCCGCGGCGGCTGCCGCGGACAAAGCGCGGGGCGGGGGGAGGCAGGAGCGGCGGGGCGGCCTGGGCCTCCTCCTCCTCCTCCTCTTCCCTCTGCTCCGCCGGCCTCGCCCCGCCGGGACGCGGAGCCCCGGGCGCCGTGCGCGGGAGCGGCGGGCAGGGCGGCAGGTGCCGGCGGCGCCGAGCCGAGCCAAGCCTTGCGCCGCCGCAGCCGCCCGGGTTACGGTGCGGGGCGAAGGGAGGAGCCTGCGCCGCGCCGGGCGAGCGGCGTGGCCGCGTCCCGCTCTGCGCCGCGGGGTCCGGCCGCCGCCGCCGCCGCTGCAGCCCCGCGGGGGGGAGAGGGAGCGACGGCGAGCGCAGGCAGAGGGGCCCGGGGGTGCAGCGTGGCCCCGGCTCACCTGGCGTGTGTCCCCCCCTGCACTTCCCGCGGTCCCGGTGTCGGCCCGGCCACGCCTGTGTGCCGGAGGATACGCACACCTCACCTGGGCTCTCCTGAACTTTGCAGCGGGCTAACTGAGAGCAAACGCTGTTAGCAGCGTTGCTGATGAGGCTGTCTGTGAGTAAGGAGGAAGAGGAGAAGGGGTAAAATGAAGGTATAGTGGTCGGCGTAGGGCTGTGGTGCCTGGGAGGAGGGATGCTGGACAGGAGAAACTTCCTCCCCTAAGGCAAAGGAGGTAGGGGGTCACAGCTTGGGTTTCTGCGGAAGTCAGGCAGTGCTGTGGGCTGGCCTAGATCTCTGATGGGAATGTCCTGCCAACACAGCAGTTACTCACGCCATGGTATGTTTGGATGACCTGCTTGTTGTCTTTCTGTTGAACTTGCTAAGCAGATATTGATCATACTGATGTCTTTCCTGTGGCCTAAACCTGGACATGGAAGTCTTAGATGTGGTCTAAGATACTTGTATTTGGCTCATCCTACACCCCCAAACACGGTAAGGGCATTTCCCTTTTAGTCCTTTCGTTGTGTGCAAGGCCGTTCTGGCTGCTGGGCATCCCAGCTTTGAAGTACCACTCTTGGTGCTGGTGGCTGTGGAGTGCGGCAACAGGTCTTGGTCCTGCTTTAAGAACAGGAGGGACTGATCTGGGCAAGGAACAACTTGTTGCTGGTTGTTAGAGGCTCCAGCCTATGCCATGGAAGGGTTTCAGTGGAGCTGTTGAGTTAATCCCATCCTGAAGCAGACATGGAAGGGACACTTATAGTGCTGCAAGGATTTTGTCTGAATAGCTAACAGTTTTCCAAGGTGAAGTGTAAAGAGTGGGTATTCCTATTGTTCAGATAGGAGACTGCATTTCTGATGAATGCCAATAAGAAGATAAAGCTTGGTTGTAGGAAACTTTGGTAAGTGCAGCGCCTATCTAATGAGTATTTGGAAATTGTCTTCTGTTTAAAATACTTGTAAAACTCAGGTCAGAGGTGATGTTAGGCTGGTTTAGATGTTGAGTGTTGAAGACACTGCACATTGTGTTCTTTCCCAAGCAGTGTTGGTCACAGACCTGAATGCTTCACTGTAACCTCTTGCAGGGTGTGTCTGTGGCTGATTCGTGTACAGCACAGGAAGATGCTCTAGGAAAGTTTGAACTTGATGTCCTGGAGTGGCCCTTGGTGGCTGTTTCCAGGCTGATTAAGCCTAATTTCAGATCTCTGTCCACACAACCAGATTTTGAGGCACTGCTAGATCCACCTTCATTCACCTCCCTAAAAGGGCAGTCCCCAGCATCTGCCCAGTACTCTCTATAGTTGGGCAGAGCTATGTGCTCTGGTTCATGAGGAATCTGAGTTCCAGCTCACAGTTACCCCTGATTCTACAGCAAGGAAAAGGCACAACTGGTCAGGGTGGAAGGAGTTTGTGGTTGCAATTCTCCTTTTTCCACCTCCCATTGTATGTTTTATGCAACATCACATTGTCAGGTTCATCCTGTATGTGCTGTCTGAATGTTGAATGGTGCTGCAGATATGTGAATGGGAGCAGAGGTGAAGGACTTTGCTGCCAGACACTTCAAAGAGGCACCCTATTCCTCTTTGGCAAACTGAAATTCCAGATCCTACTCCCCCTGTCTTCAGACAGAGCTCTTGTCTGCATCAGGTCCAGTGTTTGTTGTGCCTATGCCAGGTCTGCCCTGCTACGTTATGGAGGTGGGCCAGGTCTATTGTGAGTTCTCTGGGGTGGTCAGAACACTGGGATTTATAAATAATGTGGTGTAGGCAAGAGTAGCCACTCTGTGTCTTGGACTGCAAACCTCTCCAGAAGTTGAGAACTCAGTTCCCACTGGTACCACAGGTTGCTATAGAAGGTGTGTCATTTGCACGTGTTTGCATGAAGATGTCCTTTGCACGTGTTTTCTATATTGCATGAGACAAACATGTTTTGTTTATATATTGATGTCTATCTCCCGGATTACAATCAAATGGGTTTCACTTTCCACAAGTCTTGATTGAGGAATCTGGGCTTATGTCTCCACCCAGAAACAGCTACAGTGCCTGAGCTACCCTATCTTGCCCTGTAATGATGAGCCCTTAGATGTGGTCTTTCACCTCCTGGACCAGTCTTATAGGTGAGCAAGTGGAAGACACTGACATGGTAAAGTGAGAACCTAGAGGAATTTTAAACAACTTCTTTACTGATAGTGGCAGGAATATTGAGATGGATGCTGTTGTCTTTTGTGTGCAGGTTGCTGCTATGCCTCCATCTTCTCAATCCTCAGTTGCCAGGTTATGAGCATGAAGACAGTTGTTCTCTTTGTAATAAGGGGGTTAACAAGCCATTAGTTAGTGTGAGGGTAGGAGAGTATCTGCATCTGTCCAACAATCAAGTGATTTCTCTCTGATGTACACCTTCTGGTGTTGGATTTCTCCGCATTTAGGCCATAATAGCCAACTTCTGCCTGCTTAGATGCCAAGGTAGTCTTACAAGTGAAGATCTTTTGTGTCTGGCTTTCTACTGTTGGTAATGTGAGGAGAGGAAACAAGTGAAACACTCTATCAAGATGAGAGATTATTTAATTTTAACAAAGTTCGGTAATACTTCAACAGAGAAATTATCTCCCATTTTGAGTTTTCTTGGGATAACACCTTTGTCTCAAGTGGAATAAGTGGTACTGATCTACAAGGAAACAGAAAATGAAATCTCAATTTTAGCAAAATCACTCCTATAAAAGCTCGAGTCTTCCAAAATAAGTGATCCCTGAAGTGTTCCAGCTAATATGTTTGTATTTTCAGTGGTCATCCCCATGTACCTCAACTGCTTCAGAAAGACTGCAGTCACCAAAATAGATTAACACCATGGAAAGCAATGTAAAGAAATTGCAAACCAATTGACAATGGCTTGTAAACCTCTACACCTATCCCTATACCAATATTCTACTGCTAAATAGAAGTATCTGGGATTTCTACTGGAGGAATTAATTCCTTTTGTGATGCTTTAAGGGTGTTTTTTAGTAGTTCAATGATTTGTATATACATTTTCTCAGTTGCATCAAGGCCCCAGATGAAATCAAGATGTCCCCATGCAGGAAAATGCTCATGGTAAATTAGATTATAATCCGAGGGAGTAGCCTTGCCATGTCTTTTGGATCTGCAAATGTGTCCTCTCCTCCGCTCCAAACAGCAGTTGGTATGGTTATCTCCTCTATCTTGTACACAGGAGGAGCAGTCTGTAAGAAAGGGAGAAGGCTAAGTAAATGCTGTTGTATCAAAAGTTATGTTTAGGGAAGGATTCTGTGCAAGCGTCTCTCTTTCTCTTTCCCTTCTGCACTGCCTACTGTAAAACCATAGTGATGAAGGCCACCCTCTTATTGTTCATTGCCCTAACCCCATTCCCTGACTTGCCTATCATCACAGAATAAACCAAAGAAATACAGAAGAGTAAAATGGGGATCATCTGAGATCTGGGCCAAATGCCTTACTGCAGGATGGTTATTTGTCTACATTGTGGTAAGGGACCACACACAAGATGTTTTTAAATTGACTCCTTTTATCAAAGAGTGGTACTGCTATTTTTCTTCTTGACTGCTTTTTGGGCAGTTTCCTAACCATTCACAGTACTGGAAATAAAACATTGCTCGTTCCAAAATTCAAGCTTCAGGTATTTAAAGACCACATATGTGGATGGAGGGTGTCTGAGAAGTCTTTGGAATCTTTCTCTGCCTGTAAAATAATGTGCCACCCATAAAATAACCTGCCCTGGCTCACAAAGCTCACTACAAGTTGGCTGATCTGATCAAATCTCAAAAAATAATCAGGCAAGTGTTTTCAAGAGAAGCACAGCATTTCCGAGTGTTGACTAGGCAGTAAGCTCCTAGTGATCAAGTTTTACCTGTTTCCTTTTTTCCACACAGGATACTTCACCATGGAAATAGTCTCCACTGTGCTGTACTGAATGCCTTTGCAGTAAATAGCTTCTGAAAACCAAGGTATGTGTTTTCACTTTTTTTTTCTCTCCAGTTTAGTGTTTAACTGGAAGGCAGACCTTGAGGACTTTTGGAGAAGTGAAGAGCTCTGCACTCATCCAGTCCTAGGACTTGGGTGTGGCTCTTAGGCTTTTGGAAATGGCAGGTAAGTTGGCATCTCATTGGACACGTCCCTGAGTCAATGGGGGAGGCAAAATGAACTTCTGTTAGCTGTCTGCAAGGACCTGTCTATGCCATGTCTGTGAATAAACTTTGACAATTATGAGTATTAGATTCTGGTGAAACATTACCTGAGACCACTCTCCCCCTCTTTCTGTAGCACTTTAGGGGCTAAAATATGAATTTTTCTATTCTTAGTTTTTCTTCGTGTTTTCCTTAAAGCCATAGTCATAAGCTTGAAATTGGTCTGCACATATTAGATCTTAGTATTGTAACAAGGACATATAAAAGGAGAGTGTTAAGAGACAGAGCAGAATGCAGAAGTTGTTTTCTTGCATGTGATTGAAGTCAAGTCTTGAGCAGTAGACAGGATTCCAGGGATACTGAGGATGGATCGTAGGGTAAGTGTTTTCACAGCCTTTCCCCTTGCTAACATTCTCTCCTGATCCTCAGCCACCACTCTTGGTATGTTTAGTTATTAAAATCTTGCTGCATTATCTTAGTTGGCTCTTTAGTTAGCTAAGTTAGCTCTTTGTGAGGCAGGAGTGTGTCAGGGCTGTTACGTGCTTGTGTTGCCTCCTCACACACCTTGACTGTTGTGTGCCAGTTTTGTCTGGTCTGCTCACAGTAGTGGCAACAATTCCAGAGGCTCTGTACTGCTTACAAGAGTTTGGCTATGGGGAGCAGGGTGTAATCAGCTTAGCACT